GGCTCTCAGACTGTACATTATTGTAGTGGCTCTCAGACTGTACATCATTGTAGTGGCTCTGACTGTACATTATTGTAGTGGCTCTCAGACTGTACATTATTGTAATGGCTCTCAGATGCAAGGTTAGTCCTAATACTCGAGTTCTTTTTCAGTGGAACCTCATTAATATGGACATTTCAGTTTATATTTACAAAGTACCCCATTTTGTCTCAATACTTACATGTAAGTTTGTGTTTATGATATATGCATACCCTATATATACTATTAGTTAGGTAAAAATTAATGTATGGAAAAGAAAATGTCTGAAAAGTAGGAGTATATTCGTCCTATGGGAGACAACTCTTATAAAGTAACTAAACTAAAATGGAACAACTATGCTGAAGTTCACAGCTCCACAACATAAAACAAAATCGTCCTATGTAAGCTACAGAGCCATTCATCTGTCTGTCTGTAATAAACAATCCCAGTTGCCTCCAGAGTCCTCAAACTTGGCACAATTTCTTACCTTTTTTTCTACCACTGATTTACATGTGTTACATGTACCTGCCTCTCTCAAGCCTCCTGTCTATGTCTTCAAGGCTAATTAGCAAGATATTGTATATGCTCTATATAAGGTCAGGTATCATAATTTAACATATTTCTTCATAAAAAGACATATTTACTCTAAACTGCTGTTTTTGTTTATTGGGTGGAAACTCATCTTAAATAAGGTAACATAGTGGTGAGCAAACAGCTTGATGGAACTTTCTAATATTTCACATGTAGTTATATATAAGTATATTAGGCATCAAGTTACACACATTTAGTGTTTGTTTTAAATTATGCCATCATTAAGTCAATCTCATTAAAATCAGATGTTAATAAAAAAAAAACTATTAACGCGGTACGTGATAATGAACAGCTGTATTTATTCAGATTGTCATTAAGTTTGATTCAAATGATCAGCAAATGTTTTTTTCTGAAATGTTCTGTATGTTTTTCATTCTGGATGTACAAAATGTACTCCTGTTGTCTACCCTGGTGCATCCTCAATACTCCAGGGTTACATTCACTTACACTCTCTGCACCCTTAGAATATGTCAGGCTCAGTGTGCGCCACTGTCTACTAGACAAGAAGACTAGCTTGATCCTTTGATGTACATCAAAATAATTTTGACTGGCTTTGAAGTCAGGTTTCGTTCCTATGTAATCTTCAAAGGACAGGTATCAGCTAAGCAATTGGTCAGATTGTTTTACCCGAGACTAATCAAATAACTAGCTGTGTGCCTTCAATGTTGCTATGACATATTTGAGGGGTGCAGAGAGCGTGAGTGAGCGTATCCTTTGGAGTATCAAGGATGACACTGGTTGTCAGTATTATTACCTGCTTGTCAAGTGTCCCAAAAAGTCATAATTTGAGATTCATTTTGGCGAGCAATCCTGCTTTCCAGTCAAGTGTAAGCGGTTTAAATCAGAATAAATGCCATGACTATCTTTATTTCGAGTTGTAAGAGGACAGTACCAATTACCAGTCAACTGTCCAGACTACATCTATTTCTATATGGTAGCAGACCGTATCACTCACAGGTAAGCGTACAAAGTAAGTGTAACTTGATTTCCTGCAAATAGAATGCAGTACGACTTCCATGTCCAGAGTACCTTGGTTTCCAGTTGTTAGTGTACAGTACGACTTTCATGTCAAGTGTTCCGAGTACCTTGGATTCCAGTTGTTAGTTAATAGTACGACTTTCATGTCAAGTGTCCTGAGTACCTTGGTTTCCAGTTGTTAGTGTACAGTACGACTTTCATGTCAAGTGTCCTGAGTACCTTGGTTTCCAGTTGTTAGTGAACAGTACGACTTTCATGTCAAGTGTCCCGAGTACCTTGGTTTCCAGTTGTTAGTGTACAGTACGACTTTCACGTCAAGTGTCCTGAGTACCTTGGTTTCCAGTTGTTAATGTACAGTACGACTTTCATGTCAAGTGTTCCGAGTACCTTGGATTCCAGTTGTTAGTTAATAGTACGACTTTCATGTCAAGTGTCCTGAGTACCTTGGTTTCTGTTTCCAGTTGTTGGTGTACAGTACGACTTTCATGTCAAGTGTCCCGAGTACCTTGGTTTCCAGTTGTTAGTTAATAGTACGACTTTCATGTCAAGTGTTCCGAGTACCTTGGTTTCTGTTTCCAGTTGTTAGTGTACAGTACGACTTTCATGTCAAGTGTCCTGAATACCTTGATTTCCAGCAGTAAGTGGACAGTACCACATTCCTTGACAGTACCACATTCCTTGACAGTACCACATTTCTTGACAGTACCACATTCCTTGACAGTACCACATTCCTTGACAGAACCACATTTCCAGCTTAGGTAGGGGTTATCACTAGCGGGTCAAGTGTCCCTGCTCTGGGCATATTTGGACTTCCACACATACATCTTGTCCATGCTGGCAGTCAGGAGACATTTTTCCTCGGGATGGAATGCAAGGGAATGTATAGCCTTGTCCGATTCATGAGTCAACTTCTTCAACACTTTAGCCTGGTATAAAGATATAGAATGTAAAAGTGAATCCTTGGTCTGTTCGTCAATAAAGCATCCTTAACTATGTAAAGAGCAATTGCATTATATTCCTTTCAGTTATATCTAATCTATGTGTAGACTGATCGCCGGCGACCAGCTAGCTTAATTGGGTACACCAGGATTGAATCCTGGTCACAAGCACCACTGTAATAGGTTAAGAGAAATGCTAACCAATTAAGCTACCAGGTTGCGAGTGATACACCCAGTCCATTACTACTACATATCATTTCCCCCATTTTTACCACCTGTATCATTTCCCCCATTTTTACCACCTGTAAAGTGAAATGTCTGACAGTTAATGATACCCACTCAAACTTAGCCATTCAATGTTAAAATCTAAATTGCCTCGCAGGTTAAATTCACTTTCAAAAAAGGCAAAAATAAAACTGTGATAAAAAAATTCCCCAAGTTTTACCTCACTGTCACTCAGATCAGACAGACTTCACTTGGTACTTCAGATTAGATAAAGAAGTTACAGCGGTTAGTTTTATAAATATAAATAAAAAATGAGGATAATAGTTAAGACTTATTATACTAATGTGTATTTGCAAGATTCACCGAGTCACTGCTATATAAAAAAAGATGTTCTTACCCAGACAGTTTCGCTGACATTCTGCAAGCTTGGTCACTGGCATGGTGACGTTAGAGACATCTTGTTCACCTCCACCACAGTAAACAAGGGGAAGTAACTCCCATATCACTATCATCACCAGTGACCAAGCTGGCAGAATGTCAGCGAAACAGTCTGGGTAAGAACTTTCCTGCTAAATGAACCTTTTCAATGATTATTTATACTAATATCACTTTTCTAACTGACAAGAATTTAGCAATGTTTTCAGTTAAATGTACGGGAAACTGTTCTAATCAGTAAATACTGGTAAAGAAATACTTTGAACCATTCTTAGAAGTGTTCGTTTTATAAAATAAGTAATTGTTGAATTGACTGATTACCATAAATGAAAGATCATTAATCAAAATATTGCCAATATATAAAAAGATTTTGGTTTTAGTACTTGTAACCCATTCTGTCTCTCTTCATTTATATATAAATAGATTTTAGTTTTAGTACTTGTAACCCATTCTGTCTCTCTTCATTTATATATAAATAGATTTTAGTTTTAGTACTTGTAACCCATTCTGTCTCTCTTCATTAATATATAAATAGATTTTAGTTTTAGTACTTGTAACCCATTCTGTCTCTCTTCATTTATATATAAATAGATTTTGGTTTTAGTACTTGTAACCCATTCTTTCTCTCTTCATTTATATGTAAATAGATTTTAGTTTTAGTACTTGTAACCCATTCTCACTCTCTTCATTTATATATAAATAGATTTTGGTTTTAGTCCTTGTACCCATTCTTTCTCTCTTCATTTATATATAAATAGATTTTGGTTTTAGTACTTGTCACCCATTCTTTCTCACTTCATTTATATATAAATAGATTTTGGTTTTAGTACGTTTAACCCATTCTGTCTCTCTTCATTTATATATAAATAGATTTTAGTTTTAGTACTTGTAACCCAATCTTTCTCTCTTCATTTATATGTAAATAGATTTTAGTTTTAGTAGTTGTAACCCATTCTTTCTCTCTTCATTTATATATAAATAGATTTTTGTTTTAGTACTTGTAACCCATTCTGTCTCTCTTCATTTATATATAAATAGATTTTAGTTTTAGTACTTGTAACCCATTCTCACTCTCTTCATTTATATATAAATAGATTTTAGTTTTAGTATTTGTAACCCATTCTGTCTCTCTTCATTTAATGTAGATATGTTTTATTAGATTGTACATGTTTCCTCTGTCAAAGATTTTCTGGATTTTATAACAACATTGTATGCTCACACACTATAAAAAAACTGGCACATATGCTTCACAGTGTATCTTCACAGTGTATCTTCACAGTGTATCTTCACAGTGTATCTTCACAGTGTATCTTCACAGTGTATCTTCACAGTGTATCTTCACAGTGTATCTTCACAGTGTATCTTCACAGTGTATTTTTTGGTGTATATTCACAGTGCCCCTTCAATCCTACACACATTATGACATACCAAATGATGGTGAGTGGTAAAAGAGGACTTACCTCGACTAGGCCCCAGATGTAAACATTGCCGTCCTCTGAGCCGCTGAGGACATGGGTGTCCTCCACATTCAGGCAGCTGTCCAGTTTGTAGTTATTGTTCTTGTGACCCTTGTACCTGAGAGAAAGACAAAAGTTATTTGATTTCATAAAATTGATTGATATCTTTTACATCAATATTTATATTTTTGTTTTTCTTTAATCTTCATCAATTTCTGTCACATCAATTTAAAAGTATTTGATTACCAAGCCTTAATTTTAAACCACCAGGTAACACAAACAAGTAATCAAGCTACATAATGTATCTAACTCTTACTCAGTGAAAAGCTAATCTCTATCTAACACTTACTCAGTAGAGAGCTAATCTCTGTCTAACACTTACTCAGTGGAGAGCTAATCTCTATCTAACACTTACTCAGTAGAGAGCTAATCTCTGTCTAACACTTACTTAGTAGAGAGCTAATCTCTATCTAACACTTACTCAGTGGAGAGCTAATCTCTGTCTAACACTTACTTAGTAGAGAGCTAATCTCTATCTAACACTTACTCAGTGGAGAGCTAATCTCTGTCTAACACTTACTTAGTAGAGAGCTAATCTCTATCTAACACTTACTCAGTGGAGAGCTAATCTCTGTCTAACACTTACTTAGTAGAGAGCTAATCTCTATCTAACACTTACTCAGTGGAGAGCTAATCTCTGTCTAACACTTACTTAGTAGAGAGCTAATCTCTATCTAACACTTACTCAGTGGAGAGCTAATCTCTGTCTAACACTTACTTAGTAGAGAGCTAATCTCTGTCTAACACTTACTCAGTGGAGAGCTAATCTCTATCTTACACTTACTCAGTGGAGAGCTACATAATCGCTATCTAACACTTACTCAGTGAAAAGCTAATCTCTATCTAACACTTACTCAGTAGAGAGCTAATCTCTATCTAACACTTACTCAGTGGAGAGCTAATCTCTATCTTACACTTACTTTAATTTAGTGGAGAGCTAATCTCTATCTAACACTTAGTTAGTGGAGAGCTAGTCTCTGTCTAATACTTACTCAGTGGAGAGCTGCTCTATCTAACACTTACTCAGTGGAGAGCTTATCTCTGTCTTACACTTACTTTAATTTAGTGGAGAGCTAATCTCTATCTAACACTTACTCAGTGAAAAGCTAATCTCTATCTAAAACTTACTTAGTGGAGAGCTAGTCTCTGTCTAACACTTACTCAGTGGAGAGCTGCTATATCTAACACTTACTCAGTGGAGAGCTAATCTCTGTCTAACACTTGCTCAGTGGAGAGCTAATCTCTATCTAACACTTGCTCAGTGGAGAGCTAATCTCTATCTAACACTTACTCAGTGGAGAGCTAATCTCTATCTAACACTTACTCAGTGGAGAGCTGCTCTATCTAACACTTACTCAGTGGAGAGCTAATCTCTATCTTACACTTACTTTAATTTAGTGGAGAGCTAATCTCTATCTAACACTTAGTTAGTGGAGAGCTAGTCTCTGTCTAATACTTACTCAGTGGAGAGCTGCTCTATCTAACACTTACTCAGTGGAGAGCTTATCTCTGTCTTACACTTACTTTAATTTAGTGGAGAGCTAATCTCTATCTAACACTTACTCAGTGAAAAGCTAATCTCTATCTAAAACTTACTTAGTGGAGAGCTAGTCTCTGTCTAACACTTACTCAGTGGAGAGCTGCTATATCTAACACTTACTCAGTGGAGAGCTAATCTCTGTCTAACACTTGCTCAGTGGAGAGCTAATCTCTATCTAACACTTGCTCAGTGGAGAGCTAATCTCTATCTAACACTTACTCAGTGGAGAGCTAATCTCTATCTAACACTTACTCAGTGGAGAGCTAATCTCTATCAAACACTTACTCAGTGGAGAGCTAATCTCTATCTAACACTTACTCAGCGAGCATTTCGCCTGTGTCCTTGTCCATTAGTTTGATGCTGCTGTCTAGTGTACTGGTCAGGATACACTGACTGTCTCTTGTGAAATTAACACATGTCACAGGTGCTGGAACCCCAAAACAGTTTTGTTTAATTTAAATCTGGGTACTAGGCAAACTTACAGGGATAACAAAAAAATTACAATTTTTTTTTTTTCATTTTTTGACATATCTTCAGTGCTATATATATAATTAAAGCTACATTATTACCAAAAGGTATGCTCGCATTCCCAAAATGTATACTTTGGCCCCTGATTAAGCTGTTGAGTTTGACAATCTTAATGGCATTTATGAATATATAATCTGTTATAGAGAAATATCATTAGTCCTAATTACAAATATCAATAAAACTCACAATAGCCACTATTCATGCATGTGTGAGACAAAAATGATTGCTACTTTGATTATTTTATATTTTGTGGAGCAAAACATTGCCTCATTACAGCCAAGGCAATCTATGAATACACAACTTAGTAGACCATGGTAAATGAGAGTTAACATTTTTTACCTCCTATAAAGTCCACAGACAATTTGCCGACACGGAGGTCATATCTCCTGATCCTTCCATCAGTTGATCCAGTTAGGATCTCCTTGTCTGACACTTGAAGGGAGGTAACTCCATCTTTAGCTTCATCCAAAATCTTATTAAATAATTAAATAAATAAGTGTCTTTAACATAGCCTGTGCCTGCATAAACTGGAAAATTCAGTGGTATTTTTAGAAAAAAAAATCAATTGTCTTTATCTATTGTTTTGAAAATATGCCTTTTTTCTGGGGGAATGTGCCTGTTTTTGGCAGTAAAAAGGACAAAAAAAATACTGAATGGTAGAATGAAGACGCATCATATGAATTATAAATTTATTTACCACTATAACACTATTACTATTATAACATTTTGCCACTGTAATTAAGTTTTCCTTAAACCTGTGTATCTCTAAACAGAACTTAATGCTTAATCACCCCTACCTGGATAGGCTCCATCTTCTTTGTACGACAATCCCAGATGCGGACTGTGCTGTCAATGGACCCAGACAGGATCAGTGTTGATTCTTCATTGAATTTAACACAGTTCACAGTTCCTATGTTAAGACCAACAAAAACATTTACAACTGATTACTCCTTTCAACAGGTATTCAACACATAAAAAACTAACAATTGAATCTACAGGACCAGATTCTCAGTTTTTTAAGCTACAAATAACACAAACAGTACCAAGTATATATTTTCTGCTTTGATGTTACCAGAGTCAAGGTAAATTATTATAATTCTAAATTTAATTTAGTTACCATCAGTTACCATGATTTTATATATAAAAAAGTCTGTTTAGAAATATAATAAACGTCTTGATATAAAAATGTACAGATTAAATGTAAAACCAATGTTTAATTCATCACAATCAAATTAATCCTGCCATTATTTCATACCTAGATCTAGAAATGGCTTCATCTTAAATGTCAAAATTCTGCAAAAAAAAAAAAAAGCAGACTCAATAGAAATTAGGGTTAAGTTACCTGCATGACCTCTGTACTTGCGTACAGCCTTCCCTGTAGCCACATCAAACAACATGACAGTTTTGTCCATCCCTCCTGAGCAGATCTGACTGTTATCACCAGAGGACTGTGCATCCAGTACTTCATATCCATGGCCCGTGTATGTCTTTAAGGCAATTCCTCTGTGAGGATTCCAAAGCCTCACCGACTTATCACTACCACAAGTCAAACAGTAGTCACCTCCAACTAAAGATACAAATAATTACATGGTAATTTAACTTAATTCTATTGTTATCAATTAAATGAAAAAGAGATCCCAGAGGGATCTTACCATTTTCATTAGTTCTATGTCAGTTTGATCTTTTCTCTTGTTTTCAATTATCTGTTTGATCAAGTACGTCATGTCAACAGTAAATGCATCTTGAGGTAATATTTGGTGTAAACTTCATACTGCTGTGTTTAAAAGACAACCTTGAAAGTGAGTTTGTGAGTTTGTCATTTACTAAATGTTAAAAGAATAGAACTGGTCATTTCAATATGAGAGAGATCTGTAAAGTAATTCCTCCAGGGGAAATAGTGATAATATTATTGAAATATCAAAATCCAAGATGACCCTCTGCTGCCATCTTGTTTTAATGATCAATCTTCTAACAAGGGACCAAGAAGAAATTTGCACAACTAAGGACCAAGGGAAACCATTTGAGAAAGATCCCTCAAGTACTTTCTGACTTTAACTGTCAAAATCCAAGATGGCCATGGCCACCTGCAGTCATCCATTTTGTTTATTCAATCAGTCACAAAAGTAAACATACACAAAAAGGACCAATGAAAATCTACACAACAAATTTGAGAAAGATCCACCCAGTACTTTCTGAGTAATAACAATAACACACCTGCATGAACTGTCATAATCAAAGATGGCCACATGTCGGCTATTTTGATATCCGATCAGTCTCAGAAGTAAACCAGCACTATTGAACAAGGGGAACTCACATATCAAATTTGAGAAAGATCCCTCAAGTACTTACTGAGAAATAGCTATAACAAACCTTCAATGTCAAAATACAAGATGGCCACCTGTCGGCCATCTTGGTTTTTATATCAATCCCCAAATTTTGATACACATAACAAGAGACCATGGGGACCATTTCCCCCTCCTCAACTACAGATTGCTTTCTGCCAAGAAGGAAATTCTCAATCCAGTTTACTACGTTTCCTTTTACACCATAGTACTTTAGTTTGTGGATGAGTTAGCTAGGGAATGGCTGACTTTGTCGAAAGCCTTGGCGAAGTCCATGATGAGAATATCAGTTTGGCTTCCTTCGTCAAGGCTTCTGGATATGTCATCGATGAATTTGATCAACTGACTTTCGCATGATCGAAATTTGCGAAAGACATGTTGGAAAGGATACAAGATGTTGTTTGTATCAGCATGCGTCATGATGTTAGAAACGATGATGTGCTCCATTACTGCACTGCAAATGCATGTCAGTGAAATTGGTCTATAATTTTCTGGATTAAATTTCTGTCCTTTTTTATAAATGGGAGATATATTTGCCAATTTCCAATCAATGGGGAGGACTAGACCTGTAGCCAAGGACTTGCTAAAAGTGATAGAACGGGGGCTACTTCGTTAGCAAGTTCTTTCAGTACCTTTGGTTTTATGTCATTGGGTCCTGCAGCCTTTTGCATATTTAAACCTTTGAGAAGTTTTAATATACCATTTTCATGGATCTCAATATCAGGCATGGTTGGAAATTGATGGTCAAGAGCTCGAGGCATGTTACATCTGAGAGTAAACTGGCGATCATTGATGGTTTCAGGTAGAGTAAAAACAGATAGAAACTGGGCGTTAATTTGCCCTCTTACTTTAGTGGGGAAATGCTGCAGTGATAAGATCGTTTGGTTTTAATGTAAGACATGATACAGTTGATTGTCATTTTTATGTGAGTTAGGCTAATCCGTAGCAAATAAATAGTGGGTGGGGGTTGCACAATTTTCCAGGAAGATTAGTTCAGTGGGTTCAGCTGTTGAGTGGTTAGTCGAACCCCTTCACAATTCTTCTTCTTCCTGTGGATAATAGCATTCCTGAAGATTACATGCTATGCGCTGGGAAATGTACAACGGAATAAGGGTTATTTTTTAGATTTTTAACATATATAGATAAAACTATTTACAGGGTACAGATTTAGAATGTTGAAGACAGGTATAACACAGGGATAGCAGACTTGAATGCTTCCACTGTGTCAGATGATACGGCTGAATGAGGGAGATGATTCCATTGACTGATGGTGCGAGGATAGAAGGAAAATTTATACGTATCTTTTATGGTCTGTATGTGTTTGAAGGCATGAGAATTGTGGTGGCTGGATCTGGTTCTACTGTCAGCTGGTATTAAAAGGTTTGTTGGATAAATTGCTACTACATTATTCAAAATTTTGTAAAACATGACCAGTCTGAAGTATAATCTGCGAGTGTGAAGGGGAGGCCAATGAAGTGTTTCCATCATTTCAGTTACAGAGCTGGCGTTAATTTGGTTGTTGTTATGTGGGCCCCATGCCCAGACAGGTGAGCAGTAGTCAAGTTTTGGACGGACAAGGGTTTTATAGGCATGATTTTTTACTTTGGAGGAATTTATTTTTAAGTTTCGGCGAAGGAAACCCAAGGACTGATTAGCTTTAGTGGTCATTGAATTTATGTGCTTCCCCCATTTTAGGTTTGATTGTAACGTGACGCCAAGGTATTTTGCCGAATCAGTAATTTCCAGAGTGTGACCATGAATTTGATAATTTGAAGTAAATTTACTTTGACGTCTGTTGAGAACTTTTAGTACTGTGCATTTATCAGGATGGAAACTCATTAGCCAATCTTTTTCCCATTTACCAGCGGCACTCAGATCTGATTGTAATTTCTCAACATCATCTTGTGTTTTTATGGTTTTATAAATTATGCTGTCATCAGCGAAGAGGCGTAGAGTGCTGAATTTGATATATTCTGAAAGATCATTAATATAAATGATAAACAGGATATGTCCGAGGACCGTACCCAGGGGGACACCTGAAGATAGTCAGGGACTGTAGATGATTTTTCACCATTTAATACTACGGACTGTGTTCTGTTAGATAGAAATGAAGAAATCCAGTTAAGTGTGTTGTTCTGTATACCATAGAATTTTAGTTTATAAAGTAGGTGGCGAGATGAGAAACCTTGTCAAATGCTTTAGCGAAGTCCATAATTATAACATCAGTCTGGAAGTTGTTGTTCTGTGTGGAGGCAAGATCCTGGATGACAGACATTAGCTGTGTTTCACATGATCGAGCTGGCCGAAATCCATGTTGTAAGTCAAGTAAAATTTTGTTGTTTTCCAAATGTTTCATAATGTACTACATAAAATATGTTCGAGGAGCTTACAACAAATGCAGGTGAGTGAGATGGGACGATAGTTTATAGGATTTTGTTTATCACCTTTTTTGAATACAGGGCATACATCAGCATGGTTCCAATCATGAGGTACTGTGCCCGAAGTAAGTGATTTTTCAAAGACTGAAAGAGTAGAGAAAGAATTGGTGCTACAAAAGATTTAGATTCTTTAAGAATTCTGCCATGTATTTCATCAATTAGGCCTAAAGGAAAGTGACATATACATGTATATTTGTTAACCTATTTATGGTAGAACATACCATTAAACCTAACGGCTCTCACAGCTCCTTGTTTACAATTCACAGTAGAAATAAGCTTTTCTGGAAATTCTTCACCCATTCTGCTATTCTAAACTCTCCTTTAGAGTCTACTTAAACGCAAACGTTTGAATTGCAATCATATTCAATACAAGCGTTTTAAAGATAATTGAATGCAAGATACGTTCGTGGTCGTTTCCGTTAAAAAGAAATTATTAAATAAATGCTTCGATCTTTTTTTCAATATAATGATTACATTTTTTTCGAGAAAAAATCGTATTCAAAAATAATTTCTTGAGACATATGGAACAAAATTACGACTTAAAGATTTTTTTCCGGAATTAAATATATGTTTGAGATTATTAGAAAACACACACCTAGCAAAAATGGCGGCGTCCTCTGATTTTTACTTGCGATATTATGTTGGACACAGAGGGAAATTTGGCCATGAATTCCTTGAATTTGAATTCAGACCTGATGGTAAGCGTGAGATAATACTTGGAAAAAAACATTTTATATCTTTAAGAATTGCTACGATCACAATGTATAGGGAAGGCCTAGCTAATTAGCATTGGAAATCGCAAACCGGCAACGTGATAGAATTTACTTGTGATTTATAGATTCCTTTGTCACGAACTATCGTCTGCTGAAAAATCTATGTCTGATAACCGCAAATCTTAATTTTTGTGTATCTTTATAACACAACCATTGAATAAGTTACAACTTTCCAGCTATCAAATATTTAGTAGAGTGAATTTACATACAAAGTTGTGAGATTTTAACTTGTCTATTGACAAAACCACCTTTTGAACAACTGGGGCTTTAGCTATTTGTAAAACCGCCCTTTGGTACTGTTACTATCAGAATAGTGTTTGATCAGTTAAAATTATATTCAAGCTAGTTTTAATTCAAAATGTGGGCTTCACTGTCAACCTCGTTCCAAACATATCGACCAAAATTGAAGCCCATTCATATCATGGAACAATGGCCGAGATGTGTGCTGCAAATGTGATTTGAGAAAGTTAAAGTTTAGGTGAAGTTTTCGAAAGAAATCCTTCACATATAACACCATATAATGGGCATAACATAATTATGATGTAACGGTTAATATTCAGGTTATTAAAATTAACTGGACTTACTAATATAGAGGTGTATATGTATATAGTTCTTTCATTGTAACCATTTGTTTAAGACATATCATTATCAAGAAATGTATATCTTGACACCGTCAGACATGCCGATGGTGCATTCGCGATCGAGTTAAGACAGAAATGTTGGCAGACACCCTTATTATTTATTAAAACTTGACATAAGTGACATTTTAATTTAATAATCTGAACTCCGGTTATCCTGATACGGATGTGGCAGGTTTTAATTGTACATAGGATTAAGGTCGCATTCTAGCTTCAAGCTTGAGGGAATTTCCCTTTAGATCAGTGGTAGAGCGAAAGACTATATATAGCTAGACAGATGGAGATTGAGGGTTCGATCCCCGGTGGAAGCACAGTAATCTCTTTCCTGTTACAAATGGTGTCCATGCCCCTGTGGTGACAGGTACTTGTTAAAACCTGGGTTGTGGTGTTCCAGGGCGATGACATTTAAAAAGGGAAGAGTAGTGTGCCAGATTTGAATTGTACATCAGATTAAGGTCGCTTTCTAGCTTTGAGGTAGATAGTCTGACCATAGGAAGCACACTATTCTCTTTCCTGTTAAACGGACACTCGATTATCCTATAATATTTATAACGTTGAACTGTACCACTGTAAATGTGAAAAAAAATGTTAAAAATTGTATAATTTTCATCATAATTATCATTTATGTATTGCCCCTCGATGGGTCCTTGAGTTATAAACTTGAACATTGTTTGTCATATGTTTACTACGAGTTATCTCCCCTTCACCACAAATACCAATAATTTTATGAGAAACAATACCCATATTTTGATTGGGCACAAATTTATGAGAAATATGTATGGTACAGATATTATACTTTGGTAAGTACTTAAAAAGAATCCTTGGTACGGAACAACTAAAATCTTGGTACACATAAACTTAATCTTGGTATGGGTTGACTGTTCGGGATTACTGGTGGTGAAGACCCCTACTAGCCAGCTGACGCACCAGAGAGAGGTGTTCATTTTATGTTTTGGTCAGTGAAAATTTTCAGAGCATATAATAAGATGATTTCTTAGGCTTGAGGATTTTTTTAATCTGACTGAGGGCTATAGCTCTTTACATGAAATTGCACACCCTGTAAATTCCACGTATTAAAACGTATTAATTGTTTTCAAAGATATTAAAATTCATGGAAAAATATTCAGTATCATGCATGCCTGTTAATAAATATAGGTCATTTAATCACATAGATACTTAAAAATTTCTACACAACTTGCTGTTTACAGGTAAACTGAGGTATGCCAACAACTCAAACTACAAAAATGACACCATGATCAGGAAGGAGGTAATTTGGGGATTGTTGTATTTGTAAAATAATGGATGCAGTTTACATTCTAGTTGTTAGTTTCAAACCTAGAGCTGTATGTGTTGATGGACATGATATTATGTTCACTTTGTCACTTTGCACCTTAGATCATAATGTTGGAAGTCAACATTATCAATCTACACTGCAAAATTACATTGTTTACTTATGTATAACACATTTTAAAGTGTACCCTGAATGATTTGCACTATTGCACTATGAAAATCCTTTATGTTAAACAGAAAAGGCTGAAACACATTGTATATAAGCAACATACATGTAGAGTTCGCTGCTGCTTTATTTTCCTTTATTTTTGTTTATTCAGCAAATTTAAATTTCTCAATAAGCAATTAATTGAAGTTCAGAACTGGCCATGTAATGCGACCAGTCTGTGTTACCCTCTTTAGAGTTGTCAGCTTGGTTTCCATTCAACCTCTGTCTGAACGTTCTGGCAAATTTACTTAGCTTGATGCTGTCATCCTCAGTCAAATCTGATTTCTCAAAACTCATGTTAATTCTCCCTCCTGCCTTGTGTATGCATGGTGGCTGCTATAGTTGTTTGCATTTATGTCACAGATCATGAGGTCACAGTTTACAAGTGTCCCATTCATAGGGAGTTACAATTATGCAATTTTCGACATACTTGTTTTTTTATCATATAGAATAATAATGAATTCATTATTATTACGATTCAGGGTACACTTTAAGCCGAGAGTGAGCACAATTATTTGGTAATACCACTGAAATATAATAACATATACCAAAGAATAATGTTACTGTTCTAGATCTACGATATTATATAACTATTAATCGTTGTTGTCAGAGGAATTGTTTATAACAGAAGTCTGTTTTACTGTATTTTGTTATACATTATTGGTTCAATATATATATATTCTCCTTCTTTAAAAGGCATTTGTACACAAGTCTGTGATGGAGGAGCTGAAGCGTATCATTGAGGATTCGGAGGTGATCCAGGAAGATGATGCTGTGTGGCCATCACCTGACAGAGTGGGCAGACAGGTAAGTCACAGTCATCAGTTACATTGGTTTAATAGTAGTGGGCAGACAGGGAAGTCACAGTCATCAGTTACATTGGTTCAGTAGTAGTGGGCAGACAGGTAAGTCACAGTCATTAATTACATTGGTTCAATAGTAGTGGGCAGGCAGGTAAGTCACAATCATCAGTTACATTGGTTCAATAGTAGTGGGCAGACAGTAAGTCGCAGTCATTAATTACATTGGTTCAATAGTAGTGGGCAGGCAGGTAAGTCACAATCATCAGTTACATTGGTTCAATAGTAGTGGGCAGGCAGGTAAGTCACAATCATCAGTTACATTGGTTCAATAGTAGTGGGCAGGCAGGTAAGTCACAATCATCAGTTACATTGGTTCAATAGTAGTGGGCAGAAAGTTAAGTCACAGTCATCAGTTACATTGGTTCAACAGTAGTGGGCAGACAGGTAAGTCACAGTCATTAATTACATTGGTTCAATAGTAGTGGGCAGGCAGGTAAGTCACAATCATCAGTTACATTGGTTCAATAGTAGTGGGCAGGCAGGTAAGTCACAATCATCAGTTACATTGGTTCAATAGTAGTGGGCAGAAAGTTAAGTCACAGTCATCAGTTACATTGGTTCAATCGTAGTGGGCAGACAGGTAAGTCACAGTCATCAGTTGCATTGGTTCAATAGTAGTGGGCAGACAGGTAAGTGACAGTCATCAATTACATTGGTTCAATAGTAGTGGGCAGACAGTTAAGTCACAGTCATCAGTTACATTTGTTCAATAGTAGTGGGCAGACAGGTAAGTCAGTCATCAATTACATTGGTTCAATTTTATTTAAAAAATGCTGTGTAGAATTTATGGTGATTTTTTTGTGATGTTGACCAGTTTTAAAGATAATTTCACACATTGAGTAAGTTTAAAAAAGGAAAGATGTGGGCAGACAGGTAAGTCACAGTCATCAATTACATTGGGTCAATAGTAGTGGGCAGACAGGTAAGTCAGTCATCAATTACATTGGTTCAATAGTAGTGGGCAGACAGTTAAGTCACAGTCATCAGTTACATTTGTTCAATAGTAGTGGGCAGACAGGTAAGTCACAGTCATTAATTACATTGGTTCAATAGTAGTGGGCAGACAGGTAAGTCAGTCATCAATTACATTGGTTCAATTTTATTTAAAAAATGCTGTGTAGAATTTATGGTGATTTTTTTTGTGATGTTGACCAGTTTTAAAGATAATTTCACACATTGAGTAAGTTTAAAAAAGGAAAGATGGAATGATCATGAGAACCAATGGGAGAGTATCAAAATTCTAGATAAAATGTAGGTCATTTAGCACAATCTTGTTAGTACTTACTAGCTATATAAAGCTAAAAACCATGCCTCCATTTTGCTCCTTTGCCATCATAATCAGTGATGAGAGATTGTAAGGATATGTTCCATGATTTCTAATAGATTAGTGATGGTGTCATGCAGTTACTGCTGTATAGAATATTACCACCTAGCTTATGTAGCTTTTAGTCTTTATGATCCAGCACTCCTGTCTGACCAAAGCATCAAAGCTGTCATGAACTACACCTCTAAATCGAGACGCAGCCAGGGTCTTCCCTTTTCCATGCTTCAGAATTATTGCTTTTAATTTTTCAAAATTATTAATTTATAAACATGTGGTCAAGCAGGTATCTGATTATTTTGCTTACAGCTTGAACATATGAAAAAAAAACATTTTGAAGGACTGTCATGTGCCAAAAAAAACCAATAGTGATGTCTGGTTTACATAGATGATCGTTTAGATAGTGAACTTTTTATCCCACTGTCATCATGCACACACAGATGGCAGGCTTTTTAGATCACCATTTGTCTGTTTCATGGTCTGTAGTCTGTCTGTCTGTCCTTCAACAATTTTTATCAGAGCTATTTCAGAAATTTCTCAATTTCATATAAATGTTCCTTATGGTCCCTAGTTATGCATATTCAATTTGGAACTGATCAGAAACCAAGATCGTCAACAGGTGGCCATCTTTAATTTTAAGAGTTAAATATCCTAGCTCTATTTCTCAGAAAGTACTGTCTCAAATTTCACTTGAAAGTGTTCCAATGGTCCTTAGTTATTTATTCATATCAAAATGTATAGGAAAACAGAGATGACCTACAGGTTGATTTTTAGCCCACCATCACATCGGCCTTAGTCTGTGGGTCGCCCATGGCTGTCGTCCATCCTTGAACAATTCTTGTTATCACTATTTCTCAGAAAGTACTGGAGGGATCTTTCTCTAATTAGATATGTAAGTTTCCCTTGGTCTGTAGTTATGCATGTTTACTTTTGAGACTGATAAATAAAAACTGCTGACAGGTGGCCATCTTAGATTTGACAGTGAATGATTGTTATTATCATTTCTCAGGAATTCCTTGAGGGATCTTTCTCAAATATGATATGTAGGTTCCCCTTGGTTCCTGGTGATGCATGAACAAAACGGCCAACAGGCAGCCATCATTGATTATGACCGTGGATGTTTGTTATTGCTATTTCTCAGAAAGTACTTGACAATTTTTTCTGGAATTTGATATCTAGACTCCCCTTGATGCATATTTGTACATGTTTATTTTTGAGACTGATATGTTATATATCTTTCACATTTAGTACTGTACTAGTAAATATATGAACTAACAAACTTACTTTGAAGGTTGTCTTTTTTACACAGCAGTATTAAGTTTAAATGAAGAGTTAAAAAAGGTGCATTTACTGTTAACATGACTCGATCAAACAGATCAGAGAAAAGATGACATAGAACTAATGAAGATAATACGATTGTAGGTGCCAAGGTCTCTTTGGGATCTCTTATCACTATTTTGTATTATGTTCTCCTTGAAGGGCAAAGAAGGTGAAGAAAATGAAGGGCAAAGAAGGTGAAAGATCCTTTCATGGTGGGCTCTAAGATACTACTTGTTCCATCACTAAAACATGTAATTTTAGCATTTGTCTAAAAGTACCCTTTTTTTTTGCAGGAGCTTGAAATTGTAATTGGGGATGAACATATCTCATTTACAACATCAAAAATTGGATCTCTTGTTGATGTCAACCAAAGCAAGTATGTATATTTAATTCCCAATCTGTACTGATCACAGGTACTGGACACTAGTATGTACTGATCACAGGTACTGGACACTAGTATGTACTGATCACAGGTACTGGACACTAGTATGTACTGATCACAGGTACTGGACACTAGTATGTACTGATCACAGGTACTGGACACTAGTATGTACTGATCACAGGTACTGGACACTAGTATGTACTGATCACAGGTACTGGACACTAGTATGTACTGATCACAGGTACTGGACACTAGTATGTACTGATCACAGGTACTGGACACTAGTATGTACTGATCACAGGTACTGGACACTAGTATGTACTGATCACAGGTACTGGACACTAGTATGTACTGATCACAGGTACTGGACACTAGTATGTACTGATCACAGGTACTGGACACTAGTATGTACTGATCACAGGTACTGGACACTAGTATGTACTGATCACAGGTACTGGACACTAGTATGTACTGATCACAGGTACTGGACACTAGTATGTACTGATCACAGGTACTGGACACTAGTATGTACTGATCACAGGTACTGGACACTAGTATGTACTGATCACAGGTACTGGACACTAGTATGTACTGATCACAGGTACTGGACACTAGTATGTACTGATCACAGGTACTGGACACTAGTATGTACTGATCACAGGTACTGGACACTAGTATGTACTGATCACAGGTACTGGACACTAGTATGTACTGATCACAGGTACTGGACACTAGTATGTACTGATCACAGGTACTGGACACTAGTATGTACTGATCACAGGTACTGGACACTAGTATGTACTGATCACAGGTACTGGACACTAGTATGTACTGATCACAGGTACTGGACACTAGTATGTACTGATCACAGGTACTGGACACTAGTATGTACTGATCACAGGTACTGGACACTAGTATGTACTGATCACAGGTACTGGACACTAGTATGTACTGATCACAGGTACTGGACACTAGTATGTACTGATCACAGGTACTGGACACTAGTATGTACTGATCACAGGTACTGGACACTAGTATGTACTGATCACAGGTACTGGACACTAGTATGTACTGATCACAGGTACTGGACACTAGTATGTACTGATCACAGGTACTGGACACTAGTATGTACTGATCACAGGTACTGGACACTAGTATGTACTGATCACAGGTACTGGACACTAGTATGTACTGATCACAGGTACTGGACACTAGTATGTACTGATCACAGGTACTGGACACTAGTATGTACTGATCACAGGTACTGGACACTAGTATGTACTGATCACAGGTACTGGACACTAGTATGTACTGATCACAGGTACTGGACACTAGTATGTACTGATCACAGGTACTTAACACTAGTATGTACTGATCACAGGTACTGGACACTAGTATGTACTGATCACAGGTACTGGACACTAGTATGTACTGATCACAGGTACTGGACACTAGTATGTACAGATCACAGGTACTGAACACTAGTATGTACTGATCACAGGTACTGGACACTAGTATGTACTGATCACAGGTACTGGACACTAGTATGTACTGATCACAGGTACTGGGTGTCAGTGTGTCCAGCACCTGTGGTGCCGATACATGATTATACAACACTCTCTTTAAAATTGTTACCAATATTATGACTTATATCCTTTAAGTAAAACACTTTTGTTGTATCTATGCCAACCCATTACAAATGGTGAATGTTTTGTTATTCATTAATACATATTTATTCAGTGTTTTCTGTTGTCCTGTCAAAATCAAACACAGTCATTCTCACCAATATTACTGTTTTGTTACCATTCTCACTGATATGTATTGTTTTGTTACCATTCTCACAGAGACCCCGAGGGACTGAGGACATTCTACTACCTTGTACAAGATCTCAAATGTTTAGTATTCTCCCTCATTGGACTTCACTTCAAAATCAAACCTATCTAAGATGTGACAGGCTGGTGGCTGAAGTAAGGAATCAGGAAAATGGCCATCATCAGAAGTCCTCGGGATGATAAAACATCACGTTACTGACCAAACTAATAATTAGCAAAATGTGATGGACACGTTACAGCAAACCTTGTTAACCAATAAGAATGAGAGACAGAACTTAACTACAGGCATTTATATGGTCAGCACAGGTAGGGCCTTGGACGTGAACTAATGTGACTGGAATGAAGAGAACACTTCTGAAAGACAATTTTAGATTGAGAGTTTTACAGTTTTATTTCTGCATATTTAGACCAAAAGAAGTTACCAGTATGTCGGGAGAGAGTGGGGGATGAAAGTCAGGAAGTATTCATTATTTCTGCAATATGATTTCAACAAATGTTATTCAATTGTTCAGGGGCAAAATATCCAGTTCCATAATTATCATTATTTGTCAAATCATGCATTTCCTAGCACTGATAAAAAAAAAACTCATTGATCTTCTGTTTGTCATTTCATGTGTCTTTTAAAGAATATAAATATAATACATTGATATCAGTATTTTGTGTCTTTTCTGTTTTGTTTCCTCCCCACCTAGTCACTTTCCTCATCAGCTGTTGCATTTTGCGACAGTACATGCAGCCTCCTATATATGGGCATTGTTCCTCTTATTGGTATGTCCTGGAATCAACACTGTTTATTTCAGGTTACAAACAATATTAATATCAAATGGTTGAACTATAGTGTTAAAATAGGATATATTTTAGTAATATTTCGTAACTTGTTTGATCAGATGATCATGACATCGTCCATGATTGAGAGAAATCCTGTCCTCAGAAATGTTAAAGTTCTCATGTAAATGATTATGAGGACAGTGTTCTAAAATAGATTGTCCGTGACATGTATTTGTGAAGGAGAGCTGGGTTCAAGGTGCCCCCCGGTCTAAGACCACTGGCACTGTCGGTGTATCAAGCAGGAGTATAAATACACCAGTGTGAAGTCCCATATACTCTTGTGTAACTAACACAAGAGGCTAGAGATCTGTATATATATGTCAGGCATTGTATGTGGCTCGGGTAACCTTCCCATATACACAAGAGGCTAGAGATCTGTATATATATGTCGGGCGTTGTATGTGGCTCGGATAACCTTCCCATATACTCGAAAGGCTAGAGATCTGTATATATATGCCGGGCGTTGTATGTGGCTCGGGGAACCTTCCCATATACACAAGAGGCTTGAAATCTGTATATATATGTCGGGCGTTGTATGTGGCTCTGTATGTGGCTCGGGTAACCTTCCCATATACTCGAAAGGCTAGAGATCTGTATATATATGCCGGGCGTTGTATGTGGCTCGGGGAACCTTCCCATATACACAAGAGGCTAGAGATGTGTATATATATGTCCGGCATTGTATCTGGCTCGGGTAAACTTCCCATATACACAAGAGGCTAGAAATCTGTATATATATGTCGGGCGTTGTATGTGGCTCCCGTAACCTTCCCATATACACAAGAGGCTAGAAATCTGTATATATATATGTCGGCCATTGTATGCGGCTCGGGTAACCTTCCCATATACACAAGAGGCTAGAGATCTGTATATATATGTCCGGCATTGTATCTGGCTCGGGTAACCTTCCCATATACACAAGAGGCTATAGATCTGTATATATATGTCTGGCGTTGTATGTGGCTCGGGTAACCTTTGGCCATATTTGCATCGTGTGCTCTATTTCCTGTTATTAATATTGTGCTCCAGATAAGCAACAATGCTGGCAAGGTTTTTTCTCCACAGCCTGAAGAGCTCATGTTTCGCTGACAAGCCACTGCACCTGTTTCACACTACTCAAGTCGTGGTCAAGAACAGTGGCTATCCTTTCCAGCTTCCGTCTCTGTTTAGGAGAACAACACTAGAAGTTATATATCCCCTTGATGGTACTTACAACTTGTGTGAAATACAATGGATTGCAATACTGTTAGACAAAACTGCTTGGATTTTGTGTTGCAACTCCATTCTTGCTGCCAAAATTGACCGACGCACCATCAAAGCTGGAACAAGTTTTGGGCCTTTGCTTTCATTATCTGGGCTCAGCTTTGCCATGTCTAGACTTAAGCTTGCCACCGCCTCTTGAGCTGCTGCCTATACGGAGTCAGCTGTCCCCGACAACAATAGCCTTATCTTGATAAGTCTTGTAACTGGCAAGCAGTTCTGGTCTATGTATCTTAAATAAACCTACTCCACGACAGTGCTGCCATCGGATAGGACACTTATACATTTTTACACGCCCGTCAAATTTGACGGGAGTATTATAGTATGGCTCCGTCCGTCCGGCGTAAACTTTTGTTTGTTCGGCAATCTCCTCCTACATTTTTTGACCGATCTCTTTGAAACTTAGTATACATTATAATCATGGTATGAAGTTGTGTCGCCCTTACAAGAATTTTGATTCGACAATTTTTTCAAAAGTTATTGCCCTTTGTTCATTTAATTATTTGATGTTTGTCCGGCAATCTACTCCTACATTTTTTAACGGATCTCTTTGAAACTTGGTATACATTATAATCATGATGTGAAGTTGTGTCTCCCTTAAAAGAATTTTGATTCGACAGTTTTATCAAAAGTTATTGCCCTTTGTTTATTTTAGAATTTTATTTTTGTCCGGCAATCTCCTCCTACATCTTTCAACAGATCTCTTTGAAACTTGGTATACATTATAATCATGATATGTTGTTGTGTTTCCATGAAAAGAATTTTGATTCGACGATTTTTGCAAAAGTAATTGCCCTTTGTTCATTTCAGTATTTGATTTTTTTATCCGGAGATTTTCTCCTCCATTTTTATACATAGCATGTCAGCTAACCAATCTTTGAATGATGCAGATCTTATTTCAATGTAAGAGAGTATATAACACTATATGGCATTCGACGGGCGTATATTGTTCCGCCCCGCGGTACTCTTGTTATTGTCCAGCACTGATGTCAAGATACCTTTCCTTATTGTCTCAAATATTGAGGACAGGAAGTCGGTTCAGCTTGGCCGTGCAAAGAACTCTTTCCCTAAGTCCACACCATTTTTTATTTGTATTGAAAACGTCAGTAAATAGTCACCTAGGGATTTTCCGGCTTTAATCGCCCCATATGCCGTGTTAAACACGTGTTGAAGACGTTCCATCTGGTCCTCCCAACGATTTAACCAATGCCTTGGCAATGGGTGCTTTCTGAAATTCAGTAGGCCTAGTGTTGCCTGGTGTTTCTGGAGACATTGCCTGCTTTTGAGCCCACCATCATCAGATGGTGGGCTATTCAAATGTAGTCCGTCCGTCATTCCGTCCATCCTTGAACAATTCTTGTTAGCGCTATTTCTCAAAATGTAATGGAGGGATCTATCTCGAATTTCACATAAAAGTTCCCCATGATCCTCAGTTATGCATATCGTTTTTTGGGACTGATCACAAAACCAAAATGGCCGACAGACAGCCATCTGTAATTTGAAAGTTTAAGTTTGTTAGCGCTATTTTTCAGTATTTACTGGAGGAATCTTTCTCGAATCCTACACGAGATTCCATGATCCCTAGTTATGCATATCGTATTTTTGGACTGATCGCAAAACCAAGATTAGATGGCCGACAGCCAGCCATCTTGAATTTGAGAATGAAAGTTTGTTAGTACTATTTCTCATAAAGTATTTCAGGGATATTTATCAAATTTCTCATATAGGTTCCCCATCGAACTAAGTTATGCATATCGTATTTTGGGACTGAACACAAAACCAAAATGGCCGACAGCCAGCCCTCTTTAATTTGAATTTTAAATTTTGTTAGCGCTGTTCCTCAGAAAGAACTGGAGTGGTCTTTCTCAAATTTCACATGAAGGTTACACATAATCCCTATAGTTATTCATATTCTTTTTTGGGACTGATCACAAAACCAAGAAGGCCGACAGCCAGCCATCTTGAATTGAGAGTTAAAGTTTGGTAGTGCTAGCTATTTCCCAGAACCTATTGGAACTATCTTTCTCAAATTTTACATGAAGGTTCTCCCAATGGTTCCTTGTTCGGCATTTCGAATTTTGGGGATGATTGGAAAACCAAGATGGCTGGCAGGTGGTCATATTGAATTTTGGAGTAATTTTGTTTAGCCCTGTCGCTCAAAAAGTATTGGAGGGGTCTTTCTCAAATATCACATAGGGTTCCTCTTGTTCTTAGTTATGCATATCAAATCATATTGGTGGCAATCTTGTTACAGTTTAAGTTTGTTATCGCAATTTCTCAGACTTTACTGGAGGAAAATTTCTCAAACTTGATATGTAGGTGCCCCTTCACTCAGTGGTCCTGAGCTGTGTATGTTAACTTTTGAGGTTGATAAAAAGATTGATTAAGATGGCGGACATGCAAACTGATCAAACAGATAAGAGAAAAGAAGAAAAAAGACCGAACTGACAAAAACTTAAAGAAGATGGTACAATGGTGGGCGCCAAGATCCCTCTGGGATCTCTTGTTCTCTCGTATGAAGGTTACAGTACATCTTTGGTGGTACACTGAACTTTGGTGTGACTGCAAAGAATCGGTCTTCTTCTTCTTCTTCTTCCTTTACAAGGATCAGACTCAAAGGTTTGAGTGCACTTGATCCTGGGAGGTGGCATTAAAAATGTTAAAAACATTTATTTTTGTTAATTTGTACTATAAGATAAAAACAGAAAACACTTTATGGAAGGTCTGCCAGGGCAGACCTGAAAGAGTTCAGGGATAATGGTAGCGAATTCCAGTTAACAATAGCTCTAGGGAAGAATGAATATTTATTCAAATTTGTGTGGGTTTGATATTTGATTAATTCTGTGGGCCCCTCTGGTTCTCCTGTCGCCTGATGTTATGAATTGGGATGGATCAATAGCCACATGTCCGTTTTTATTTTATATAACATCATGAGCCTGGCTTTTGTTCTTCGCTGGGCTAGGGGCTCCCAGTTAAGTATATTTATCATGTTGGTGACACATCCAGGCTCTCTAGATCTATGATAATTAAATATGTATCTGGCAGCCCTACGCTGTACATTTTCAATTGCTAGGACCTGGTCTGTCCCAGCAAGTGGCTGCATGTTCTAATGATGGTCTTACTAGTGTGGTGAATGTCTGGGTTTTGACTTTTCTGGTGCATGATGACATGTTGCGACACAGAAATCCCTGTGTCCTATTTGCCTTGTTGGTGATGGATTGTATGTGTTTATCCCAATTTAGGTCTGAGGTGAAAGTGACCCCTAGGTATTTGCTAGAGTCTAAATTTTCCAAAACTTGATTGTGCAGGGAGTAGCTAAATTTAATTAGATTTTTCTATTTAGATATGTTGATGATAGAACATTTTTTGGCATTAAAATTCATTTGTCAATTACCCTCCCAGATTTCAAAGAATTTGAGGTCGTTTTCCAGTTTCTGACAGTCTTCTAATGAATTAATTTCTGTATATAATAAGCAGTCGTCATCAAAGAGTTTGATGTCGCAGGAAACTGAGTCGATGATGTCATTAATGTAGACCAAAAAGAGGAGTTGGCCAACAACCGTCCCC